ACCTCAAGAAGTAGGTTGTTATATTTCTATATTATCAACCAAATTTGATTTGAAGGTCTTTGAGATTTTTGCAAGCTTGCACTGCAAAGTGCACATCTTTGTTGTCTTCCAAATTCTGAATTTAGAAAGTTTCAAATCTCTCAAGGTCTCTAACTTGCGAATCCAGAATCTCTCAAGTTTGGAACCTATGGAGTTCCAACTCTCTCAAGGTCTCTATCTCTGAATTTGTAATTCTGTATAATTCGGTAACTCTGAAGACACCTATCTGCAAAGTTCCAAGTCATAGTTTGTATCTAGGAAGTTCTGACTCTGATAAATTCTGAAACTCTCAAGGTTTCTATCTCTCAAGGTTCCTATGTCTCAAGTTCCAAATCTCTCAAGGTCCCACTCTCGCAAATTCCAAATTTGTCAAGGTCTCACACTCTCAAGTTCCAAATCTCTCAAGGTCCCACTCTCCCAAGTTCCAAATCTCTCAAGGTTCCACTCTCACAAGCTTCAAATCTCTCAAGGTCCCACTCTTTCAAGTTCCAAATCTCTCAAGGTCCCACTCTCTCAAGTTCCAAATCTCTCAAGGTTCCTATCTCTCAAGGTTCCACTCTCCCAAATTCCAAATCTCTCAACGTCCCACTCTCTCAAATTCCAAATCTCTCAACGTCCCACTCTCTCAAATTCCAAATCTCTCAACGTCCCACTCTCTCAAATTCCAAATCTCTCAACGTCCCACTCTCTCAAATTCCAAATCTCTCAACGTCCCACTCTCTCAAATTCCAAATCTCTCAACGTCCCACTCTCTTTCCAAATCTCTCAAGTTCCAAATCTCTCAAGGTTCCTATCTCTCAAGGTCCCACTCTCCCAAGTTCCAAATCTCTCAAGGTCCCACTCTCCCAAATTCCAAATCTGTCAACGTCCCACTCTCTCAAATTCCAAATCTCTCAACGTCCCACTCTCTCAAATTCCAAATCCCTCAACGTCCCACTCTCTCAACTTTCAAATTTGCCAAATTCCAATTCTCTCAATGACCCCCTCACCCAAGTCCCACCATCCCCTCTTCCCAACCTTGCAACTCCCAAATCCTCCACCTCCCAAATATCCCAAATTGCCCCAAATAGTCCTGCTACGCCACCCCAAAAATCCTACGCCACCCATACGTCACACGTCCTACCTCGCCATTTCAAAATCACCAAATCTCTACTAAAAAATAATCCTCAAACAACATCCCTACACAATATTCACAACAATCCTCAAGAATTCCTGTATCAAAATGGCCGTTCATTGACAATCCACAAACCATCGAACAATCGCAGAGACGGACAATTGGAGAGCACGAAAGTTGTCGCATGGAAGATAATCAATAGAGAATTGCCTCGATTCGGTATTGGATTTAATCGATCGCGGTGCGACCGCATTTATGCACAATACCATCCTGCCGACAACTTCTGGCGAATTTCCAAGCGTCTCGTGCCTTCGCTAACCTACATACTTGCTTAAAACGGTGTTATTAAGCGCTGGCCACCGGACCGCGCGAAACATACCACCTTTCCTTCTTCCACGGCGACACGTTTCTCTCTTTTCCGCGTTCTCGCTGTAGTTTCTTGTTCTCCTCTGTGCGGGCCGCTCTAAAGAAGTCTTTCTTGCGAAATGAAAACAGACGAGATTAAACGTCGCTACTCGTCGCGCGGAGAGAAAGAGCCTCTTTGTGAGACACGCGACTCAAAGCGAGCTGAAACGAGCTAACAATTTTATAACGGACGACCGAGGATCGAAAAAACAATTTCAACGAATACTCGAATGCGAGGATGGTTTAATGTAGTTAAATCGAGTTACCTGGTTAAATTTTTGAATTTTCGACGGGTCTCTGAACAATCTGATATTTATAGAGAATTATGGTAATCAAGTATGATAATTAAGTGCGTTAATAACGGATTGAATTTGGGAGGCAATTATTGGTAGCATGAATTATAAAATACCTCGAGGAAAATTAGTTGATTTAATTACAACTGATGTTACATGTGGTGGATAGTTTAAATACAGTATTAATTATTAATATTACTTGATGATTGTTTGGGCGAAGGTGAAGGTTTAAATTTTGAAACGAAAAGATTTTTAAATAATCGCAGGAGAACATTTTGCTGATTGATGAATATTGACCATTACTGATCTATAGCGAACCGTAATTATCGTTTGTCGCGGAGTTCCGTGGTCATCGTGATGTATCATCCCTTTAGTCCTCATCGCGAGAAATTTAATATCGAGGCGACGAAGCCCTGACAGTTCGGGTCATCTGAAAATATGGTTCAGCCGAGAGAAGAGGGATAAGTGTCATTCAAAGGCAAGCACCGTGTCTGAATAAAGGATCGAGTTTCAGCCTGTCAAAAGGGATCGAGAGTAACCTGGAGTAATCCATCTTCCCCTTTTTCTTGTATCTTCATACGTTGTGAATTAATAACTTATTGGCTTCTGATAGCTACTTTCGTTCTTCTTTGCCGAGACAAACATTTTTTGTGTTGTGTATTAACTCTCATATACTGTAATCTTATTTAGTGCTTTATTATTATATTATTTACTTTGGAAATTTTAGATGAAGTGATGGATTTATGTGTAGTTTTTAGCTTTTGTAATTTGACAAATTTTAGGTTTTTTAGTTTTTAAGTTTTGGAAGATTTTCACTCTTCCAAGTTCCACATCTCTCAAGGTCCCACTCACCCAAGTTCCAAATTTGTCAAGGTCCCACTCTCCCAAGTTTCCAATCTCTCAAGGTCCCACTCTCTCAAGTTCCAAATCTCTCAAGGTTCCCATCTCTCAAGTTCCAAATCTCTCAACGTCCCAACCTTCCAAGTTCCAAATCTCTCAAGGTCCCACTCTCCCAAGTTCCAAATCTCTCAAGGTCCCACTCTCCCAAGTTCCAAACCTCCCATGGTCCCACTCTCCCAAGTTCCCAATCTCTCAAGGTTCCACTCTCCCAAGTTTCCAATCTCTCAAGGTCCCACTCTCCCAAGTTCTAAATCTCTCAAGGTCCCACTCTCTCAAGTTCCAAATCTCTCAAGGTCCCCATCTCTCAAGTTCCAAATCTCTCAACGTCCCAACCTTCCAAGTTCCAAATCTCTCAAGGTCCCA